GGCTTCAGTGACTCCTCCTGGGCTGACTCCCAGCCGGATCGCCGTTCCTCTCAAGGCTACGGCTTCACCCTTGGCAGTGGCCTCATCAGCTGGCGCTCCACTCGCTCCTCCTTCATCGCCCTCTCATCCTGCGAGGCTGAGCTCTATGCTTGCACCATGGCCGCTCAGGAGGCTCGCTGGCTCACCTTCCTCCTTGCTGAGATCGGTGCTCCTCAGCGCTGTCCCACCCTCTGGTGCGACAACGCCAGCACCATCCATCTCACAAAGGACCCTGTCTTCCATGGCCGCTCCAAGCACATTGAACTCCGCTACTTCTTCGTTCGAGAGTTGGTCCAGCAAGGTCACTTGGTGGTCCGCAAGATCGCTGCAGAGGCCAACTTGGCCGACATCTTCACCAAGGCCCTCCCAAAGACCGCGCACTCTGCCCTCCTCCGCCTTCTCGGCCTTGGGCCCCGCCCCCCTTCCTGATTCTGGGGTTGTACCCTACATATACACTAGCTTTGCATGCTATGGGGTTGTGTTAGAATATACCATGCTATGCTAGTTGTGTATATTGTGTTTACATCCCTAGTTTGGTGTACACCTGTGTTGGGGTGTCAATCCAACCCAATTGTGGTTGGAGCCCCCAAACACAAGGACCACAATTGTGGGGGCACCACAAGTGGGTTGGCTAAACCACAGGTGGTACACCACACTTGGACCACCTCCAACTGGTGGTCCACCATATTTGGAAGGATCCTCCCTCCCTTGTGATTGGTCCTAACCCCCCTTTCCCTTCCAACCTTCCCTTCCTAGCTCATCCCTCTCTTCCTATGTAATGCCTTTGCTTCATCAATAAACTGAACATTTCTGTTTCTAACAATTCCCTCCGATTCCCCCTTCACCCATTCTCCCTTACCTTGCCATGTACTTATAGAGCCTTGAGCTCCTTACCGAATCAATCATTTCAGCTCTATTTTTTACATGGTATCAGAGCGACCTATCTGCACACGCGGATCAAGGTCCTAATCTTAACGTGCCCGCGCTACGCGCACCTCATTGTCGCGACATTCGTCTCGAGTCGTCGGAATTTTCAACGTGCTCCACTCTGCAGTCGCGCCTCTCATCGTCGACCGCCTTCGCGCTCGACCTCTTTGAATGTCTCATCTCTGAAGTTTTTACGCTTCTCATCGTCGATTTCCTTCTCGGTTTTCCTTGGTCGAATGTCAATTTCGAGTTTCCCTTCGGACCCCGCCAGAATAGGCAAACACCCCTCGCGAAATCGCCTCCACGAACGTCTCGCGTCAAGCAAGAGCAACTACACAGGTGGAAGCGGAGCGGAGCTCGTTGCGGAGCTGGTTGCTGAGCTGGTTGTGGAGCTGGTTGCGGAGCTGGTTGCGGAGCTGTGTAGCTGCGGGACAGGGCCTGGGGGTGTGTGGGGGGGTGTGTGGTTCCGGGGTTAGACATAGTCTCATATTCAGTTTGAAGTCGGCGCTTCACCAAATTTCCGCCGACGCCATTTTCATTTTAGCGGCATTTCGACGAAGCCATCAGAGTGATTTTCAGCAGTTCTCGTCGACCGATTTCCAGAAGTGCCGCGCTGCACACGTGAGTTAAGAGCGTCGCTTCGCGAAAATCAAGCGAGAATGGCTTACTCAACCACTTCACTCGCCAACCCGATCCCGCTCCTTCGTCTCGAGCCGGACGGTACATGCTCCAACTACAAGGCTTGGCGCTATGGTGTCGACAAGCACCTCCTCAGTCGCAAGGTGAAGGGGCTCGAGCTCACCAACGTTCTTCTCAACATTGGTGACGGCAAAGAGCCTCCTAAACCCGAGAGGTCTGCCGATCCAGCTAATGCCGCCGCCAAAGCAGTTTATACTGCTGCACTGCTCAAGTACAAGATTTGGGAGAAGGCCGATGGTGCGGTGATTAGTGTTTTCATGGGCACCACTCCTCCCGAACTCGTCAAAACCTACCACAACTACCCGTCTGCCAACGCCATTTGGCTCTACCTCGAAGACCGCTTCCTCAACAAGACTGCAGTGGGAGTTGCTATACTCATCCCCAGCATGTTCCAAGTGCGGCTCGAGGACTCGCCAGCCATGGCGGATGATGTCACCAAGGTGCAGTCCATTCATGGTGAACTCAAGCAGTTGGGGATAGTCTTCCCCGAGCAAGCCCCTGCAGCCGCTCTCCTAGTCGGCCTCACTCCGGCATACGAAGTCACACGCAAGATGCTCTTGGGCCTTGTTCCCGCGGACCTCACATTTGCCAAGGTCTCATCAGCACCCCCTTCTGCCAAAAAGGACAACAATGCTCAAGCCAATGCCAATGCAATCCGCGCTCCTGTGCCTCAGGCCTATGCCACTTCGGCACCTTTCTAGCGCAACCGCTTCCCCCCGTGTCCCTACGTCATCAAGCGCGGCCCTCGTGCCGGCCATGTGTGTGGCGGCACCAACCACGCCCTTGCCTATTGCTTCAAGAAGAAGGATGACGAGTGGTATGCCGTCAATGGGACCGCCTCGAAGCCGCCAAGATGGATGGTTAATCGTGCTCCTCGCCAAGTCAATCAAGTCGAAGCGCAGGAATCTGTGCAGGCTGCTGTAGCTCCCACTGCTGATGTGCACCTCAACATGTTGTTCATTGGCACTGCCAGGATCAGTGAGACAATTTCGCAGTGTCCGGGCTCACAAAACACCTCAGCCACAGTAGATTTCACTCTTGAAAGTAGGGTCAATCACACAGTTCTCAAGGAAGAACACTCCTTTAAGCCATACGAGACACCAATCCCTCTACTAGGAGCAGAATCCAATTTCACAACACACGCCTGGGGCTCCTTCACAGTTCCGAGCCCAGCTTTCCTTCGGGCAGTGTCACCGGCATGTGTGTTCCCACACTACGCCACAATCTCGTCGCCTAATACGAGCTCCAACAAGCAGGCGTCATCACGATCTTCCCAGCACCCTCAGATCACTGTGACCTCCTCGACCCTAAGTCCAACAAGCTCCTAGCATGCTTCACATTCAACAGCAGCAAGCTCTACACGCTGCGTTCATCTGCACCTCTCGCCGCCCTCTCCCAAGCGCAAGCTGCCAACACCACTCCGTGTTCCTGTCGCAGCTTCGCCAACCCAACTATTCTCTACCACCATCGCTTGGGTCACCTCAACTTCCATACGCTTGCCGACATTGCATCCAAGAAACTTCTTCTTGGCCTCCCCTCGGCGCTTCCTCCACCAACAGACTCACCTGCACCTACATGCCTGGACTGCACCAAGAGTATGCTTAGGTAGCAGCCGCACCCTTCCTCCCCATCTGTTGCAGCTGCTCCGCTGGACCTAGTGCACATGGATGTCTGGGGCCTAGCTCCAGTTGTTGGTTACAGAAGGCTATCAACAGATGATTCATTAGCTCCTTGGAAATTTCTGCAGCACTTCGTTATGACGCCCAGAAAACTCGCGACCTTCGAAAAGTTATATCCAAAACTCCAATCAGTGAAAAAATCTGAAAATCGGATATATTGTAGCGTCTAGCGTCAGCTTTCAAATAAAAGTTGAATCACTCGATTCCATAGCTGATCGAGTGAGCTATGGCGTTTGGCGCACTGGGGGGTAATCTGCTCTATCAGAAATAGACAGTTTTCAGAATCAGTATTATTGAAGCTTACAAGTTCAAAGGCATGATAGAAAAGGCATTGAAGCACAGTTGGAAGGTGGGGATGGAAGGGAAGGATGAAAGGGAAGGACCCTGCAGGCCCATGGTCAAGAACATGTCAAGAGTCAAATTCTTGACTCCCCATCTTCAAATTCAACCAGACTGGCAAGACAAAATTCACACTGTGCCAGGTTGGCCTCCAACCCCCAAATGCTGCAGCTGCAAGGTGAGGACAAAAGTCCCACACATGCTGGTCCCTCCTCGTTATAGGGCTCTCCAACTTTGGTGTAGCAACTGCCAAGGACTTCCAATGAGTTGTAACAAATCCATCAAACATTTCATCGGAACTTCTTCATATGTGCTCCGATTCCAACAATTCTTGGCTCGTTGGAATGTGCTCGATGTCATGGCATGCCTGGTTGATGTACGACAGGCCTGGTTGATGCATGGCATGCTTAATGGACGCAAGGCATGCCTGGTTGGTTGATGCATGGCATGCCAGGTTGGTTGATGCATTTTATGCTCCGTTGGATGATGCATGGCATGCCTAGTTGATGCATGGAATGCTTGGTTGATGCATGGGGTGCCTAGTTGATGCATTGCATACCTTGATGGTTTATGCATGGCACCTGGCGTCATCATGGCATGGGTGCGCCAGGCTCAAGTCACGTTCGGCACTCCTCTGAAGTGCCTCCATTCTGATGGCGGGGGAGAATTTCGCAATGGCAAACTCGATAACTGCTGCGCGGCCCAACTGATTCGGCAAACCTTCACGCTCCCCGAAAGCCCGCAGCAGAACGGCATTGCAGAGAGCTGCAACCACACCTTGGTTCAAATTGCTCGCTGCCTCCTCAGTCACGCCAACGCACCACGGTCACTCTGCGGATATGCCCTCTTCCATGCGGCACTCCTCTACAATCATTATCCGCATCCCCACCGGCCCGATACCAGACCTACCACTTTCTGGCTTGGGGCCACGCCCTCCGCCCGCTCTCTACGCGTCTCGGGTGTACTGCGTATGTGTTGCTCAGCCCACACACACGCAGGAAGCAAGGTGGCAAGCTTGGTCCCAAAACCCAGACCAGGCTTGAGGCACGGAAGCGCAGATTGCATTGGCCTTGGCTTGAGCGCTGTTGTCATTTTCGGCAGAAAGGAGCGCAGATGAGACCTTGGCAAATGTGAGGTCCGCAGGAGCAAGGCCCAAGAGCATCTTGCGCGTGACTTCGTATGCCGGAGTGAGGCCGAGTAGGAGAGCGGCTGCAGGGGCTTGCTCGGGGAAGACTATCCCCAACTGCTTGAGTTCACCATGAATGGACTGCACCTGGTGACATAGTCCGCCATGCCTGGCGAGTTCTCGAGCCGCACTTGGAACATGCTGGGGATGAGTATAGCAACTCCCACTGCAGTCTTGTTGAGGAAGCGGTCTTCGAGGTGGAGCCAAATGGCGTTGGCAGACGGGTAGTTGTGGTACGTTTCGACGAGTTCGGGAGGAGTGGTGCCCATGAAAACACTAATCACCGCACCATCGGCCTTCTCTCAATTCATGTACTTGAGCAGTGCAGCAGTATAAACTGCTTTGGCGGCGCCATTAGCTGGATTGCCAGACCTCTTGGGTTTAGGAGGCTCTTTGCCGTCACCAATGTTGAGAAGAACGGCGGTGAGCTCGAGCCCCTTCACCTTGCGACTGAGGAGGTGCTTGTCGACACCATAGCGCCAAGCCTTGTAGTTGGAGCATGTACCGTCTGGCTCGAGACGAAGGAGCGGGATCGGGTTGGCGAGGGAAGTGGTTGAGTAAGCCATTCCCATCTGATTTTCGCGAGGCAACGCTCTTAAGTCACCGATAAGAACTTCGGTCCGCAGCGCGGCACTTCTGGAAATCGGTCGACGAGAATTGCTGAAAAATCGCTCAGACGGCTTCGCCGAAATGCCGCTAAGAAGGAAATGGCGTCGGCGGGAATTTGTTTAAACACCGACTTGAAACTAAATGTGAGCCTAAATCTAACCCTGGACCCACACACCCCACCACACACCCCCAGACCCTGTCCCGCAGCTACACAGCTCCGCAACCAGCTCTGCAACCGGCTCTGCAACCAGCTCCGCTCTGCTTCCACCTGTGTACCTGCTCTTGCTTGACGCAAGACATTCGTGGAGGCAATCCGCGAGGGGAGTTCGCCTATGCTCGCGGGGTTCGAGAGGAAACTCGAAAACGAGTTTTAAGAGATGGTCAAAATTCAGATTCGACCAAGGAGAACCGAACAGAAAATCGACGATGAGAAGTGTGAAAGCTTCAGAGATGAGAAATTCAAAGAGGTCGAGCGCGAAGGCGGTAGACGATGAGAGGCGCGACTGCAGAGAAGAGCACGTCGAAAATTCCGACGACTCGAGACGAATGTTGCGACGATGAGGTGCGCGTAGCGCGGGCACGTTAAGATTAGGACCTTGATCCGCGTGTGCGGATAGGTCGCTCTGATACCATGTAAAAAATAGAGCTGAAATGATTGATTAGGTAAGGAGCTCAAGGCTCTATAAGTACATGGCAATGTAAGGGAGAATGGATGAAGGGGGAATCAGAGGGAATCCCCACTGGGATCTCCGGAATCTCCAATTGAGTATTTGGAGATTGGGGGGATCACAGTTGGGTGAGGTTGGGATTTTGTGAGTACACCCCAACCCACTAGAACATTCCTAACCTAAACTAGGATATAAAAGTATAAATACAAAGATGGGATTTGCAATCTATTTCTAATACTACTTTCATCTGATAAAAACCATTTTCACAATCTTTTGCCTCCTCACCTGTGCTGGCTCATTGCAGCCATAGGAGCAGTGGCAGAAGCGGCGGCCAAAGGAGCAGCAGCAGTGGCCGCAACCGTCCTCATCCTCCCTTCATCCTCCTCGAGCCGCCGCAGGTCCACCCACTGTCGCTCCCTCCGGGCCACTGCGGATCCACTCACCGTCGCCCTCCTCCCACTTCGTCCCACCAATGGTAGCCTTTCTCCCTCCTGTAAACGTCTCGATGCTCGATTACCTCGTGCGGCAGCGCATGCGTCGTGCCTCTCCGCCTCCTGGACATCATGCACAGTGTTCAGGAGGGTGACTTTGGGGACCTACCAGTCTCACCCTGGCGATCCCCCACCCCTTCCCCACCCCCCCTCTCCTCCTCTCATTTTCCATCATGGCGAGCATCCTGGCGAGGAACCTTCCTTCCCCCTGGCCCCGTGGTACCCGTTGCCACCAGCACCCATGGTGCCACCTCTGAAACTGAGCAGTTCTTTCATTACTCAGCTTTGTGCTTATAACTGATTGCCTGATTTCTTTGGAGGGACACAAGCAGTTCGCCACCCTTTGCACCCAGCATGCTGCGACCGCCGCCACTGATGCAAATGACTTTGTATGATTTGCTGAGCGTTGTCGCGTTTGGCTTGAGGCGATGCCGTGCTACTGGTGCCCTCCTCCTTGCCATTTTATCTACGCCCATTCGCAACTTCAAGGCAAGTCCCATTGGCTGCCGCCAGATTTGGCTTGCGCTTGATGCGATGTTCGAGCGCACCGACTTTGATGCCGTTAGGACGCTCTTCAAACAATACTTCAGCATCACAATTCAGAATAGTGCTGGCGCTGTTAACTCCTGGACCTTGCCTCCCGCCTGGAGTCTCGCTAGACAGTTCTCCCTTCCAAACTCTAGATCTACTTGTTAGAAGCAGAAAAGTTGGTTTCTTGATGAAGCAATGTGATTACATAGGAAGGGAGATCAGCTAGGAAGGGAAGGTTGCAAGGGAAGAAGGGGTGAGGACCAATCACAAGGGAAGGGGGAATCCTTCCAAATGTGGTTGACCACAAGTGGCTTGAGCAACCCACTTGCGGTGCCTCCACAAGTTTGGTTCTTGTGATTGGGGGCTCCAACAAGAATTGGGTTAAATTGACACCCCAACACATGTATACACCCAAATTGGGGTGTAATGACACAAATAGCATAGCATGGCATATTCTAACCCAACCCCATAGCATGCAAAGCTAGTGTGTATGAAGGGCACAACCCCAGAATCAGGAAGGAGGGCGGGGGCCAAGGCCAAGAAGACGGAGGAGGGCAGAGTGTGCGACCTTCGGGAGGGCCTTGGTTAAAATGTCAGCCAGGTTGGCCTCTGCAGCAATCTTGCGGACCACCAAGTGACCCTGTTGGACAAACTCCCGAACGAAGAAATAGCGGAGTTCAATGTGCTTGGAGTGGCCATGGGGTAGGCAAGGATGGGGCGGGTGCATCTCATAGCGTACATTAGGGAACCGGCGAGCTCAGCATAAGGATGGTCAGAGGAGGAGGGAGCAAGAGGAGGGGCAAGCTGGTGGTCGGTCTGCAGGGGAGTGGTAACCGGCTTGGCCTGCGCCATGTCGAACCGCTGCAAGACTTGGTCGATGTAGAAGGACTGAGAGAGGGTAATGGTGCGCGATGTGCGGTCCCGGGTGATGGTCATGCCCAGATAGTGCTTGAGCTCACCCAGGTCCTTGCACTTGAGGCGCGCATGCAGGGCGTCCTTCACTTGCTGCATGGCGGCAGCATCGTCAGCGAACAGGATCATGTCGTCGACATACACCAGGATGAAGAAGCGGGTGGGAGAGGAGCGAAGGAAAAGGCTGGCATCAGACTGAGAGGCATGGAACCCCAAGGACTGCAGAGTGGCGGCCAGCTTGTTGTGCCACTCGCGAGGAGCCTGCTTGAGGCCATAAACCGGGCGGCGCAGCTCCTGCCATGCAGATGCTGCGGCTGCGGCTCCTGCAGCTGCGGCTGCAGCCTGACCACCAGAGCCCCACTGCTGCTGCTGCTGCAGCAGCTGCAGCTGCTGGAAGCGGCGAAACTGCTGCAGCTCCTGGGGAGTTATGGGGTCAGCGACAGAGGAGGAGGAGGAGGAGGAGAGCTGAAGATGAGAGGGGAGGAAAGACGGAAGAGTTTTGACATCCTGGAGAGAGGGGCAGGGATCCATGGCAGACCAGCGTGGGGGTGTGCCAGTGTTGCCGCGCTCGAACCAGGCGTCATCATACGCCTCGAAGCAGGTCACGGGGGGATGGTTGGTTTGGGTGCAGCGCTCACCCGCCCTGGGACCAAAACGGCGAAGATAGGAACATGGGGGGAGAGTGCCAGGGCGGCCACCACGGCTACCAGATGAGCCACTACTGAATCCACCACCACCACTGCTGCCACCCTCGACCCCGCAACCACCGCCGCCGGCTCCGCTGCCCCCACAACCGCCACCTCCACCCCCTCCCTGAGGGTTGGTGCGGCCGCCACGTGGGCGCCCGCCACGACGCGGCTGTGTGACTGCAAGCTGGGGGTTTTGGGACTCGGTGGAGTTCAGGCCGGAGGGGGGGGTTGAGAGAAGGCGGGCCTCAGCGTCAATGATCCATTGGACCACAATGTCAAGGGAGGCGCGGGGCTGAGCCTCAGTGAAGGCGATGACGCGCACTTCATATTGAGGGGAGAGGCCTTCGAGGAGACGGTAGATCTGAAGGTTGGGGGGGAGAGTAGTCTGGCGAGCCTCAAGGGGGGGAGAGTAGTCTGTAGATACTGCTGCTGCTGCTGCTGCTGCCGCTGCTGTTGCTGCTCCTGCTGCTGCTGCTGCTGCTGCTGCTGCTGCTGTGGCTGCTGCTGCCGCTGCTGCTGCTGCCACTGCTGCTGCTGCCGCTGTTGCTGCTGCTGCTGCTGCTGCTGCTGTTGCTGCTGCTGCTACTGCTGCTGCTGCTGCTGCTGAGTCTGCTGCTCCTTCTGGTGCTGCTGCTGCTTCTGCTGCTGCTGCTACGGCTGCAGCAGTGGTAAGGCGGCGATGAGCAGGTGCAGGTGAGGAGGCAAAAGATGGGGAAAGATGGCAGTTAGCTGATGAAAATAGGACTTGGTAGAAATTTCAGTAGCACTTCGTGATCACATCCAGGAAAGTGTGCAAACTTCGGAAAGCGATATCTGACAATCCAAGCGATGAAACAGTCCAAAATTTTACGACGTTGTAGCTGACACCAAGGGCGTTCTTTTACAAGTCGAATCACTCAATTCTGTCAACTAGCAAGAGAGCTATGGCGTTTGGCGCATTGGGGGTTTTTGAAAATCCACCGAACAGAAAACTAGTTGAGAGGCGGCGGCTAGGAGTCTAGCAGCGGCGATGGAGGGGACGGCAATGAGGTGCACGTCGGAAGGGGACGGGGCGGAAGCGTCGGGAAGGATCGGGATTTAAAAGTTGGCGTGAGCCATTATTGCTCTATACCATGTTAGAAACAGAAAGGTTCAGTTTATTGATGAAGCAAAGGCATTACATAGGAAGAGAGGGATGAGCTAGGAAGGGAAGGTTGGAAGGGAAAGGGGGGTTAGGACAAATCACAAGGGAGGGAGGATCCTTCCAAATGTGGTTGACCACCAGTTGGAGGTGGTCCAAGTGTGGTGTACCACCAGTGGTTTAGCCAACCCTCTTGTGGTGCCCCCACAATTGTGGTTCTTGTGTTTGGGGGCTCCAACCACAATTGGGTTGGATTGACACCCCAACACAGGTGTACACCAAACTAGGGATGTAAACACAATATACACAACTAGCATAGCATGGTATATTCGCGAAGCGACGCTCTTAACTCACGTGTGCAGCGCGGCACTTCTGGAAATCGGTCGACGAGAACTGCTGAAAATCACTCTGATGGCTTCGTCGAAATGCCGCTAAAATGAAAATGGCGTCGGCGGAAATTTGTTGAAGCGCCGACTTCAAACTGAATATGAGACTATGTCTAACCCCGGAACCACACACCCCCCCACACACCCCCAGGCCCTGTCCCGCAGCTACACAGCTCCGCAACCAGCTCCGCAACCAGCTCCACAACCAGCTCAGCAACCAGCTCCGCAACGAGCTCCGCTCCGCTTCCACCTGTGTAGTTGCTCTTGCTTGACGCGAGACGTTCGTGGAGGCGATTTCGCGAGGGGTGTTTGCCTATTCTGGCGGGGTCCGAAGGGAAACTCGAAATTGACATTCGACCAAGGAAAACCGAGAAGGAAATCGACGATGAGAAGCGTAAAAACTTCAGAGATGAGACATTCAAAGAGGTCGAGCGCGAAGGCGGTCGACGATGAGAGGCGCGACTGCAGAGTGGAGCACGTTGAAAATTCCGACGACTCGAGACGAATGTCGCGACAATGAGGTGCGCGTAGCGCGGGCACGTTAAGATTAGGACCTTGATCCGCGTGTGCAGATAGGTCGCTCTGATACCATGTAAAAAATAGAGCTGAAATGATTGATTCGGTAAGGAGCTCAAGGCTCTATAAGTACATGGCAAGGTAAGGGAAAATGGGTGAAGGGGGAATCGGAGGGAATTGTTAGAAACAGAAACGTTCAGTTTATTGATGAAGCAAAGGCATTACATAGGAAGAGAGGGATGAGCTAGGAAGGGAAGGTTGGAAGGGAAAGGGGGGTTAGGACCAATCACAAGGGAGGGAGGATCCTTCCAAATATGGTGGACCACCAGTTGGAGGTGGTCCAAGTGTAGTGTACCACCAGTGGTTTAGCCAACCCACTTGTGGTGCCCCCACAATTGTGGTCCTTGTGTTTGGGGGCTCCAACCACAATTGGGTTGGATTGACACCCCAACACAGGTGTACACCAAACTAGGGATGTAAACACAATATACACAACTAGCATAGCATGGTATATTCTAACACAACCCCATAGCATGCAAAGCTAGTGTATATGTAGGGTACAACCCCAGAATCAGGAAGGGGGGCGGGGCCCAAGGCCGAGAAGGCGGAGGAGGGCAGAGTGCGCGGTCTTTGGGAGGGCCTTGGTGAAGATGTCGGCCAAGTTGGCCTCTGCAGCGATCTTGCGGACCACCAAGTGACCTTGCTGGACCAACTCTCGAACGAAGAAGTAGCGGAGTTCAATGTGCTTGGAGCGGCCATGGAAGACAGGGTCCTTTGTGAGATGGATGGTGCTGGCGTTGTCGCACCAGAGGGTGGGACAGCGCTGAGGAGCACCGATCTCAGCAAGGAGGAAGGTGAGCCAGCGAGCCTCCTGAGCGGCCATGGTGCAAGCATAGAGCTCAGCCTCGCAGGATGAGAGGGCGATGGAGGAGGAGCGAGTGGAGCGCCAGCTGATGAGGCCACTGCCAAGGGTGAAGCCGTAGCCTTGAGAGGAACGGCGATCCGGCTGGGAGTCAGCCCAGGAGGAGTCACTAAAGCCAGAGAGGAGGGGAGGAGAAGAGCCTCCGAGGGTGAGGACATAGTCCTTGGTACCACGGAGGTAGCGGAGGACCCGCTTCGCTGCAGCCCAGTGCTCATCAGTGTGGCGACCGGTACCGACGAATCGAGCAAGAACACTGATGGGGTAGGCAAGGTCGGGGCGGGTGCACATCATAGCGTACATCAACGAGCCGACGAGCTCAGCGTAAGGATGGTCAGAGGAGGAGGGAGCAGGAGGAGGGGCAAGCTGGTGGTCGGTCTGCAGGGGAGTGGTAACCGGCTTGGCCTGCGCCATGTCGAACCGCTGCAAGACTTGGTCGATGTAGCAGGACTGAGAGAGGGTAATGGTGCGCGATGTGCGGTCCCGGGTGATGGTCATGCCCAGATAGTGCTTGAGCTCACCCAGGTCCTTGCACTTGAGGCACGCATGCAGGGCGTCCTTCACTTGCTGCATGGCGGCAGCATCGTCAGCGAACAGGATCATGTCGTCGACATACACCAGGATGAAGAAGCGGGTGGGAGAGGAGCGAAGGAAAAGGCTGGCATCAGACTGAGAGGCATGGAACCCCAAGGACTGCATGTTGGTGCATATTCGTTTGCACGTTATCCTGTCGTCTGTTCGCATCATTTCGTTGCATGTGTTTTGTGTGCTACATTGTTTGTATGGTTTGTTGGGTTTGCATGTCTTTGCATGTTCGTCTTGTGCTTGTGCAGATGTGCTTGGTTTGTGCATGACATCGAGCACATTCCAACGAGCCAAGAATTGTTGGAATCGGAGCACATATGAAGAAGTTATGAAGAAATGTTTGATGGATTTGTTACAACTCATTGGAAGTCCTTGTGAGCTGCTACACCAAAGTTGGAGAGCCCTATAACAAGGAGGGACCAGCATGTGTGGGACTTTTGTCCCCACCCTGCAGCTGCAGCATTTGGGGTTTGGAGGCCAACCTGGTACAGTGTGAATTTTGTCTTGCCAGGCTGGCTGAACCTGAGGATGGGGAGTCAAGACTTTGACTCTTGTCATGTTCTTGACCATGGGCCTGCAGGGTCCTTCCCTTTCATCCTTCCCTTCCATCCCTACCTTCCACCTGTGCTTCAATGCCTTTTCAATCATGCCTCTGAACTTGTAAGCTTCAATCATTGTGACTCTGAGGATTGTCAACTTCTCCTAGGGCAGATTACCCCCCAGTGCACCAAACGCCATAGCTCGCTCGTTAAGCTACGGAATCGAGTGATTCAAATTTCAGAGGAAAGTTGACGCTGCAACCTACAACATATCTGATTTTCAGATTGTTTCATCGATTGGAGTTTTGGATATAGCTTTTCGAAGGTCGCGAGTTTTCTGGGCGTCATAACGAAGTGGTGCAGAAATTTCCAAGGAGCCATTGAATCATCTGCTTATAGCCTTCTCTAAGCAACAAGTGGTATCAGAGCCCATTATCATGCATTTGGGACCTAAAATACGATGGGAGATAAGGAGGACTCTGGTGGAGGTAATACTTCAGTCCAAGGAGGCAGCTCAACCCAAGATTCTGGCATTGCAGCGCAAAGGGGAGCGCATACAAGCCAGGGGTCACTGCTTAAGGAGGTGCTGAAGAGCTTCACCATTGAGAAGTTCTCTGGAGATGGCTATGACGATTGGGCATGGAAGATGCAGCTCTACTTTCGACAAATTGGCCTCTTGAAGCTCATGATTGGAACGGAGCCAAGGCCAAAGGAAATGGCAGAGCAAGCGGACTGGGATAAACGTTCATCTGCTGGGTATTATCTACTGTCACAAAGCTTGGAGCTGAACCAGAGGCATCGCATCATGCATCTGCTACCGGAAATTGATTGTGGGCCCAAGGCATGGGCAGTGCTCAAGGACCTGCACGCTCCGACATCGGTTGCCGCTTCTCTCATGCTGGATCGGGAGCTGTCCATGCTGCGGTTGAGCGAGAATGAACCTGTGCAGCCCGTACTGGACAAGATGAGGGAACTCTATGCGAAATTGGCGATTGCAGGCATCACGTACCCTGAGCAGACTAAGTGTCTCAAGATGCTCAGCCTGCTGCCCGAGTCTTGGCTGCAATTTATAAGCGGACTCAGCTTGCCACAAAACCAAAGTCAATGGACATTGGAGTGGATTCGCACCAAGATTCTGGAAGAAGATTTTCGTCGCTGTACACTGCGCGGAGGTGATGACAGCACCAGCGGCTATGCCATGCAAGGGACATGGAGGGATCGAGGGCGTGGCAATCGCGGTCGCTCCTACTACAACCAAGGTGGTCGCGGGACTTGGAACCAGCGGGGGCGTGGTGGCGCTGGTGCAAGAGGAAGAGGTGGTCACTCCAACAATGACAACAGTGAACCACGCTTGAGGGGAGAGTGCTGGTATTGCAGGGAAGAAGGGCATCCATGGTTTCGCTGCTCTACCAAGCCCGACTGGTGGACCCCTTGGAACCAATCGCAAAAGGGGAATGGAGCAAAGCAACCACATGGAGGTGCCAACAGGATAGCTGATCCTGCTGAAGAAACCTCCAAGGATGACAGAGGAATGGGAAATGAGGAGAGGAATGCTGGACAGTTCTACCATGTGTGTGACAAAGATGACAGTGGCACAGCTGTTGCAAGGGCTGGAGAGGAACTGCACCCGCTTGATATGTGGGTCATGGACTCTGGTGCTGCATGGACAATGACACCACGCAAGGACTTGCTGGATGCTGTGCGAGCGCCTCCAATCTCCGAAGTGCGCTCAGCATCCGGACATGCAGTGAAGGTCGCTGGAGTTGGTCGAGCTGCATTCAGAGCACCTGATGGTGGACTGGTCGTGCTTAAGGACGTGTTACTCGTACCGGGGCTGAAGGCCAATCTGATATCGCTGCGCAAGCTAGGCCAGGCCGGAGTCAGCACCACCACCAATGGATCCAAAACATTCAAGGGGCTGCAAGGAGATCGTGTATTATGGGATTTACACGAAAGCAGAGATGTCTTCAGATCCATGTGGCAGATCCCTGCACTGATATGGGAATCAACAAAGAAGGAGTTGGGA